CGGTGGAGGCGGGACGTACATCGGCTCGGCTCTCGGGGGTGTTAGAGAGAGAGAACGCTGCAACCCCCCCTTTCGTCGCTTATTGGTGTACCGTTGCAATAATAGTGTTGAAAAAGTGATTACTTGTGTGAGGAAGTGTTTTGTGCTAAACCATGTGATCGTGGAAAAATTGTTTAGTGTGTTTCAACGAAAATCCAAGCAGGATAAATATTGATTTTGTTTGTGGTAGGAGTGTGTTATAAGGGAATACGAGAGTGAGAGAGAGAGGTCACACGAACACAGGATTTGGCATGTGCTAGGCAGCCTCCTCGACCCCAAGATGATGATGCCCTCAGCGCTGCCCTTACTCCTCGTCGTCGGATTAACGAGCTTCCAGCGGGCGGAGACTTACGGTAAGTTGAAAAGAGCGCTCGCCATGTGCCGCCGGAGAGGGAGCGGGCAAACAGGGGCGGACGCACGCGATCTCGACTCGCCTGCATCCCTCGTGGACTCCGGGAAGGATTCTCGGGACAAACGAGTCCACGAAGGGATTCTCGGGGTAAACGAGTCCACGAAGGGATTCTCGGGATAAACGAGTCCACGAAGGGATTCTCGGGGTAAACGAGTCCACGAAGGGATTCTCGGGACAAACGAGTCCACGGAGGGATTCGCAGGAGAGAGACGAGTCCACGGAGGGATTCTAAGTTTGAAGGGTTGTGGTAAATTACTTTTATTGTCTGGGACTTTATTAGATATCGTGAATTATAGGTCAGGAGATATTTGGAAGACGAATCGTGGTGTTGGCGGTTGTTGTTATTGTCATTTGGGATTTTATTTGCGCTTTTCGAATTGAAGGAAATGAGAAAGAATTTTTATTCTGAATTCTTTTGATAACATTTCGGGAGTTCGTAAATATCATATTTGATATTTTAGATTTTATGAAATTGGACTGAGAATATAAAAAAAAAACAATTTATCGGTAGTTATGGTCTTGTGGGGATATAATAGACCTATTGATTATTTTATAAGAAGAATTTTGAAGATCGTTGCCCTGAGATATTTTTTTCGGGCTGTAAATAAGATTAAAAAAAATACTGTGTTTACGTTTTATATAGAGAGGATAATTTGAATGATTAGTCGGGAATCTTTGTCGTTTACTTTTCGGAAATTTGACGAAACTTCTAAGAAATGAATGGCTTTTCGTATTGATTATCGATATTGTTCGAAAATAGATTATCTTCTCCTGTTTCGTCTTATTATACAATAATCACTTCCTGAATCTTCGAGTAAGATAATTGACAGTTATTGCTAATATATAGAAGCACAATTTTATTTATGTTTTATAAGTTTATCAATTAGTATTGTCGTTATGATGATGATGATGATTTTTTATCTTTTTTATCATTGTTACAATCATTATCATTATCATTGTTATTTATTATTTATTATCATTATTAACACTATTAATGATCTATTGTTAATGTGTTATCATCATTGTTGTTTTCATTATCTTTGCTGTTATTTTCATTTCATTATCTAACTTATTATTGTTATAACTATTATCATTATTGTCTTTCTTATCATCATTATTATCATTATAATTACGTACGTCTCAGAAACTTGTACTTTTAATGCTTATCAAACATCAAACCGGATATTGTGTAATCTTCATTCCTAATTACTTTCGTACCGGCACATATATAGGGAGGGGCCTATGTTGTTTTCGCTTTTTTTTTATAGTAATTGTACCGCATTTCTTCCTTAACTCGTACACTTTCATGTTAATTTCATATTAACCAAATTCACTCACGGAAAGCCAATCAATCAACGGCGATGAGCGTGTGTATGAATGTTCGAAAATGACCCGGTATTTGTTTGTCTGTTTGTTTATATTTCGTCTTGCCTTATTTATTTATTTTTGTTTATTTATTTATTATTCTGTCTTGCGTGTTGTTCTCATTATTGCTGGGTCTTAATCGTCCTTATCATGATGATCGTCGTTATCTTAATGTCAAAATCATGGGCATTATTATTGATATAATAATAACGATTGGTAATGGTAGTAACAATGTTAACAATTATCATTACGTTTATCATCATTATTAATAGTATTGTTATATAATGAATATTAGTTTTGCATAATGTTCAGTTATCGGGAAATGAAAGAATGTCAACACGTAATTCACGATTAGCCTTGACAAACTGCATTTTCTATTTATTTATTTTTCATAATAGTGGCGTTGGCTTCGCAATTGTAAATTATTTCTCTTTATTCAAGTGCCTGATATTTGACAATTTTCACGTGTTGAGAATGTTGAGTAATTTGTAATGTCCATGTACAGACAGACAGGCTGAAAGGCATTGGTAGATAGGTGAAGGCAGGGAGATATATTGATAGATAGAAAGGCGTTGGCGGATGAATAGATATATGAAGGCAGGTAGATAGAGAGATAGAGAGACGGATAGAGATAGCTTGATAGAAATTGGTGGATAGATAGATAAATAGATAGAAAGGTAGATATATAAAAGCAGGTAGATAAATAGATGAATAGATACATAAAGTCGAAAGGTCTCCAGAGAGCTTTTACGCGTTATTGCAAATATAGATACATAGGCCTATGTGAAATTCAATCCCACACTTACCTATCGGCCTACCGCAAGTAAGCTGTTTCATTTACAAAGCTGTTTCATCGCCTTAAAAAGACCCAGCTAACGTTTTCGTTCCAAAAAGAGATCAGAGAGAGAGAGAAAAAAAGAAATGGGATAAAAATAATAAATATAATAAAAATCATCATCATCGTCATCATCATCATCATCATCATCATCATCATCATAAAATAAAATGAAAATGAAAAAAGAAAATGGAATAAAAAATAAAATAAATTGAAAAGAAAAAAATGAAATTGAAAAAAATAAAATAAAATAAGATAAAGGACAAAATAAAGTAAAATGAAGGGGGGAAAAATTAAGACAAAATAAAAAAGTGCCGAACTGGACATATCGTTTTCCATTGTCCCTTCGCCGAGGATCATGTGCGGGCAAGAACGTCTCTCAAAATTTTTCCTTTGCCGCCAAATTTATGGAATGGAGGAAGCAATCTGCTGAATAATGAGGTTTATCTGCGAACGTCCGTCCATCTTCTTTTGGGACTTTTCTGTTCTTGTTCTTGTTTTTATTTTGGGGTGTTTTTTTTATTCCTTGTCTTCGGATCCTTTTCTTTTCTTGTTGTTCTTGTTTTTTTTTCTGTTTTTCTTCCTTCTTCTTCTTCTTCTGTTTCTTTTATTTATTCTTCTTCCTCTCCTTATCATCCTCATCATCCTCTTCTCTCCCTCCTCCCTCCTTCTTCCTTTTCCTCCTCTCCCTCTCTCCCTCCTTCCTACTCCCTCTTTTCTTCCCTTCCTCTTCCTCCTCCTCCTCCTCCTCCTCCTCCTCCTCCTTCTCTTCCTCCTTCTCTTCCTCCTTCTCTTCCTCCTCTTCCTTTTCCCCTTCCTCTTCTACCTTATCTTCCTTTATTATATTAGAATTACCATTTCATTATTTTTTTTTTTTTTTTTTAAATAATTTCCTTTTTTTCTCCGTTAAAAAAGTCAGCAAATTCGCTTCATTTTACCTAATCAAAAGTTGGTAATTACTAAACATTTTACAAAAAAAGAACAAACAAACAGATAAAAGCAACAATAAACAAATACGAAGGCTAAATAAACTCCCTTAAAGAATTAAAGAAAGAAAGAGAAAGAAATAAAGAATGAATAAATGGGCGGATGAAAGAAAAAAGAAAAAGTGAAAACGTAAAAAAGAGTAGGGAAGAGAAGGAAATCATTAAGAAAGAGAAGAAGGAAAGCAGATAGAAAGAATTGAAATCGAATGGAAAGACGGAGAGAAAGGAACATAAAAAGAAAGGAGAGAAAGGAAAACAGAAAGAAAGAAAGACATGAAAACAAAGAAAGAAGGAAAGAAAGGCAAACAGAAAAAAAGAAAGAAAGGAAAACAAAGGAAAAAGAATGAAAAAAGATAAAACAAAGAAAGATAGAAAAGAAAACAAACAAAAAAAAAGAAAGGAAAACAAAGAACGAATAAAAGGAAAACAGAAAAAAAAAATAAAGAAAGGAAAACAAAGAACGAATAAAAGGAAAACAAAAAAGCAAAGAAAGGAAAACAAAGAACGAATAAAAGGAAAACCGAAAAAAAAACAAAGAAAGGAAAACAAAGAACGAATAAAAGGAAAACAGAAAAAAACACAAAGAAAGGAAAACAGAAGGAAAGAAAGAAAGAGGAGAGAAGCTGAACTCATTTATGTTGAAGTGGAATTTGTCACGTGGCTCGGAAATTCAGTCGCTCCCCCCACCCCCGCCATGGTCACTATTACGTTGACTGTGAAAGGCTGGTCGTTATTTTGAAGGTCAGGGGGCTATTGGTTACCGGCCAGGGCTAGTTGCTAGTAGGTTTCAGGGTGAGGACATTTGTTCAGGTTTTATAATGGAATGAGGATGCCAGTTGAATGTCAGGCTAGTCTTCTGGTTTGCTTTGGTGTCGAATTCTTGCTAGTAGTGTCATTTGCTATTTCAGGTTGTGCTAACTAGTTTGATTTTTTTTTTTTTAGTTGCTAGTATGTCTCAGGGTGACAGTTTTTAGGTTTTATAATGGAATGAGGATGCCAGTTGAATGTCAGGCTAGTCTTCTGGTTTGCTGTTGTGTCGAATTCTTGCTAGTAGTGTCATTTGCTATTTCAGGTTGTGCTAACTAGTTTGATTTTTTTTTTTTAGTTGCTAGTATGTCTCAGGGTGACAGTTTTTGCTTTTATTTATGATGGAAGTGATGGGATTGTTTGCTAGGGAATGTATTTGCGGCTATTTGCTAGTAGGTTTCAGGGTGAGGACATTTGTTCAGGTTTTATAATGGAATGAGGATGCCAGTTGAATGTCAGGCTAGTCTTCTGGTTTGCTGTTGTGTCGAATTCTTGCTAGTAGTGTCATTTGCTATTTCAGGTTGTGCTAACTAGTTTGATTTTTTTTTTTTAGTTGCTAGTATGTCTCAGGGTGACAGTTTTTGCTTTTATTTATGATGGAAGTGATGGGATTGTTTGCTAGGGAATGTATTTGCGGCTATTTGCTAGTAGGTTTCAGGGTGAGGTTGCTAGTATGTCTCAGGGTGACAGTTTTTGCTTTTATTTATGATGGAAGTGATGGGATTGTTTGCTAGGGAATGTATTTGCGGCTATTTGCTATTTGCGAATTCGATGCAGCCGAAATCCTAGTTAGACCAGAGTCTTGCTAGTAGGGTCGTATTAATGTTGGATATCGAAAAGCATTAAGCTAGTTTTCTGTCACTAGAATGATTATATTCTGCATTTCTTGTGAAATTGGTAATCCCGACTTTAATATTTTTATTTCTATTATCATTCTTTTAGGACTAG